AAAATTCTAGATCTACCAAATTGCATTCAATGAATATAAATCAATTTTGTAATTAAGAAACATAGATTACCTAACCACACACAAAGACACATATAATTTTTTTTTCTGTTGAAGAGAAACCTAAAGAATAGGAAAAGATTATTGAAAATAAGCATAGCCATACATAAATTGTGGTCACCTAACAAATGGTTCTCTTTCATAAAATTCTAGATCTACCAAATTGCATTCAATGAATATAAATCAATTTTGTAATTAAGAAACATAGATTACCTAACAGTTTCCCTTAATCCGTTAATGACATCTTAAATTTATTTATTTTTTATTTCATATGTATGAGTGTATTGCCTGCATATATGTAAGTGCACTCATGTCATGCAACGCTGGCAGAGGTCAGACCTAGAACAGGAGTTACGATGGTTGTTAGTTGCCATGTGGGTGCTGGGGATCAAACCCAGGTGCTCTGCAAGCACAGCCAGTGCTCTTGACTGCTGAGTCATCTCTCCAGTCCCTGTTAATGCCATTTTTGTACAATCATACTCTACTCATCTTTCCTACTCTCTTCCCTTGAAGTTAGTTGTTAGTTGACTCATCTGTTTATTATCTTCTGTATGTGCCAGTCATACTCCTAAGTGCTAGACACAGAGAGCAGAGAGATAGCCTCTCCCTGCATAGACTTTCCCTTGGAACAGTTTCCCAGTCACACATTTTAGCAGATAACAACCCACTGTGTTATAAAGACTCTTTTTAGTTTGGATTTAGCTTGCTAAGAAAGTTTTCTTGAAGGACATTGCATACAAACAAATTTTAAAAGTTGAAGGCTAGGATGGAGCTGGCTTTGTACTGAGGAAACGTCTTACATCTGCATAAAAAATGTTAGAGAAAAAAGAAATCTTGCTGTTCTGAAGCTGAAATGTTCAGATGTGCTATCACAAAACACTGATTTTTAAGCCCTTTTAATTACTTTCATGACTTTTACAAATATTTGATTAGTTTCAAAATTATGATTTATTTCATATTCAACCCTGACTACAAAAAAAATGTTAGAGGAAAATAATTTATCAGTTATATAGAGCAACCTACTGATGGAGGAAAGAGGACTTTCTGTTACACTGGGTGTGGGCTCCCAGCTGGCATCCTCTCCTGGATGTTCGCTTCTGAGCCTCGGCCTAGACAGGTCATTGTCAGGAATAGCTGAGTAGAAGAGATGACTTTAGCAGAGAAATTAAACATGCTGTCCTTTCTTTAATTAGCAGAACTTCAACTAATGAATTTTATGTCTAATCTTTAAATAAAAAGTTTCTCTATATCTGAATATTACTTCCCATACTCAAACAGGGCATACAATCCATTTGAGGTTGTGTCAGCTTAGCTTTATCAGACACACCCCTCATTTTTTTTTTTTTTTTTTTTTTTTTTTTTTTTTATCAGTTCTACAAACAGTTTAACTCAGGCTCTCCATGGGTCACCAGGTATTGGCTGCCTCTTGGGCTCTGTGACTGGGTCCATGTAGGTGCCTTGAGGAAACAGATTAGAAACTTCTTTTAGCAGCTGATTAAATGCAGAAAACGTATTTTCCTGGAATTTTGTTTCGTTTTGATTTGATTTTTGCTGTGCTTGGTTTTGTTTTTAATGTGTGGAAAGGAGGAATGAGGCTGTTAGCTGGTAGGAATAAATGTCTATAATGAAAGTCTAAATGGTGATCCTTAAAAATTATGTGAGCTTAATGTTAGATAAATTTTTTAGTTGTACCAAAAAGATGAGCTCTACAGAATGGATGAAGCAAATTGCCTACTTGTAACCTGTGTTCATTTTCTCTTCAATGCTTCGTTGATTTAGTGGAACAGTTCTATGTAAGGTCTTCTTTGAAAAAATTTTCTTTGAAAAATCTTTCCCAAGAACATACTTGGATGTTACTTTTGATTTTTAACATATTAATTACAGATATTTAAAAAGTCAAAAGAGGGCTAAAGAGATGGTTCAGCAGGTAAAGAGTGCCGGATGCTCTTGCAGAGGACCTGGTTCAGTTCCCAGCACCCACATGGTGGCTAAAAACCATCTGTAACTCCAGTTTCAAGAGGTCTGATGCCCTCTTCTGACCACTGTAGGCATTGCAGACAAGGGTGCACTTAAATACATTCAGGCAACTCACATACATAAAATAAAATTAAAACAAAACAAAAGAAACTTAATGCTTTAAAGCATATCCAAATCATATAAGCAGAAAGGCTTTAGAGTTGCCATGTAAAATCAAAATCACTAGAAAAGGTACTGTGAATTTTCAAATGGTGCAGATTATAATAGTGGTCAGGTAATGAAGAAAGCCAGTTTGGGTTGGCCCTAGAGCATTAAGTGGAGAAGAAGAATAAGATCACACATTTCACTCTCCTTGTTTTTGGAGGCGCACTAAATAATAGTCACATATACACATCTATGAGTGTCATAAGAGTGCATATTCGTACATGTGTTTATATGTATGTGTGCATATACATATATTTGCATTTGCATATGTCCCCAATGTCAGGGAAAAGGTTATTATACAAATTACACATTTAAAAATTTTTATTTCTATATTTTTATTTTATGTGTATGAGTGCTTTGCCTGAATGTATGTAAGTGCACCTGTCTTATGCAATGCCCTCAGAGGCCAGAAGAAGGTGTCAGATTCCCTAGAACTGGAGATACTGAAAGTAGTTGGCTGCTGTATAGGTGCGGGAACCAAACTTAGATCCTCTTCAAAAGTAGGTATTGTTCTTAAACACTGAGTCATCTCTACAGTCCTTAAATTTTTTTTTTCAAAAATCATGCTATTTTTTCATATAATGATTGAAGTGTGAAGATGCAACATCTTTTAAGTAGAAAGACCATAATCAGGCTCTTCCCTACTCAGGCATAATTAATTAACTTCCTGCCATTCTTTAGCAGAATAATAATCACAAAGAAACTTTCACTCTAGTGTACTCCTTCGAATGAGTGAATTCATATTCGCTTAGTACGCATTTTATGTGTGCTGACTCAGCTCAAGTTAATTGGAGGTCAATGAAATACAAAACCCTATGCTGTGTAGAAGAAAAATTTGTATACTCCTTCATTTTGAAAAGCGATTGCCTCATCATTACATTAAATAGAAAAAGGGACGTAAGTTTCTTCCTTGTTTATTTTTGGGGTATGTGCCCTGATAAACATCAAGCTGTTGGCATGAGAAAGAAACTAGTAGTCAGAATTGGTTCAGTCTTTAGTTTGTACAATCAAGTTATGGTTATGTCATGTTTATGCTATCACAAGTACAGTCCCTGCCTTCATCTTGGTTTTTCTACAGCCTGTACACCCTGACCATTTGGAAACTTTCTTCTTCTCAAACTTTTAAGATTTCTCTAATAGTCAAAGTTCTTGCTTCATTCATATTGAAGGAACATTTGAAAAATACAGGAAATTAAAATAAGTTAGGAGAGGGCCATTCTTCCAAACCAAGGAGAAAAGCCGTATCTATGGGATTATAAATGCAGTCATTAGTACACATGTTAACACTGACATGAAACATAATTAAGCTCACTTTTAAATTATAGTATTTCAGTGACTGGAAATGGCATTGCAATAGTAAAGTTATTACTCTGGGGTCTGATATGGATAAATAAAAGCCACTTTCATGAAGAAATTATTTGGAAGAATATTATTTCTAAGGCATGAGGTTTTGAACAGAAGGCTGCTGAACCCAGACATAGCACAGGCATGACTGATCCCAAAGGTTTCCACCTACCCTGGGCTGAAGACGTGAGCTCCATGGGATCTCTAGGTAGGTTTGCAGTGTTACAGGTCAAGGATCCAGTTAGAGGTCCTGATGTGGTGAAAGAAATACACCCAGCCGGTGTACATTATGTACTGCTGGTACATAATGATGCTGTCCTGAAGCATAACATGTTATCAAAGTAGCTCCGATGCACACTCTTGGAAGATACCTATCAAGCCGAAGAACTTGGCCGGTCTATTCATTGCTATTCATTTAAAAGAGGCTATCAAGGACTGGGGGCATGACTTCCAGAAAGGCATTTTGACTTTTTTTGCAAGTACAAAGGTTTGCATGAGGTCACAGATGCCAAAAATCAAGCTCTGAATTCTGAATACATGATTTAAAAAATGAATCAGATAACCCATGAGAGTCCTAAGGGGATGGTACACATGAATTCTCTCTTGCTGCATCCAAGTTATAAGTCTCTTAGGGCTATAATATCTTCTATTTGACCAAACACAGTGTGACAGCCTGGAGCCAGAATGAGGTAGAGCAGACAAATGGGAATAACTATCCACACACGTGTTGCAGCAGAGTTCCTTTGCAGAGGGAATGATATGCACACCCTTTTTTGGCATGTGTTCCAGACTTGACCTCCTTCTGGCCTTAGAATTATCTGGCTTGTTTTCTTCTGTGGCTAGGTTCTTAAATATCACCCACAGCTGCAGGCAAGGAAGACACTGCTCAAAAAGCCCACCCAGAGCTACCATAATGAATGGACATATAACTAACTCACAGAGATTTGAGAAAGGCTTGCCTTGGTACCCTTGACTCCCATGAGTCATGCGTGTGGGAAGTCAGAAGAAAACATTGAAGTCAAACAAGAAACCAAACCGAGAAAGGACATTCTGTAGAGCCAAACAGGGAAGACAAGCATCATAAATTTCCCAGTGGCCAAACTCCTAGAAGGTAAGAGATTGAAGAACACTGATGAAGAATGTGGTAGGGATTTTTATTTCCAAGGGAGATCCATGCACCTGTTGATGTATTTTCCAGGCCCTTGAATGATAACAATTTATGAGGCTATTAATACTAAGCCCAAGATTTATCAGATGTGCTGCTTGTCTTGTGGCCAATTTAACCTCATAAAATTTGGGCTGCGTTGGGTTAAAATGGAGAGTTCTGCTATTGGAGCTATTCAGAGCATTTAAATCGGCTAATCCTACAAGCACTGTGCATTTCTCCTGCTTATTACAGGGTCTTTAGGGATTCCTACCAGTGGCAGAGGCAGGCGGGAGGGAGCGGTCTGCTGCTGGGTTAGGCAACATGGAGGCTGCAGGGGAAGAATGAGTCCTGGAGAGGAGTCCGTGCTTCTCTAATCCATCCATGCCAACCGCAGCCAGCTGAGTTTGGCGCACCGAGAGCGCACGTGTGCGCCGGGTCTCCAGCAAGGGTGGCTGCCAAGAAAAGAGACAGGAGAAAGAAATGTGAGCCCACTGCTGAAGGAGACGCGGAGAGTGATGTGTCAACAAATTAAGTTCATCAGGTCAGAGACGTAATAAACGGTGTGAGGGGGGAAAGAAGGGAAAAAAATGGAAAGAGGAGAGAGGAGCAAGAACAAGATCTAGCCAATAAATCCATTCAACAGATGTTTGCACATGGCCACAGGTCCTGCTGCCTGGCTAGGGAGGGAGGAGGCAGTGGCAGGATGCCTGCCAACTTGAATGACATGAAACAGATCTTAACCTCACTAGAGGCGTCCACTCACCGGGTGCCTTCCTTGATACCAACAATTTGAACTCAGGCCCAGAGAGAACGCCCTGTACAGGGGTAGAACAGTTCAACAGTTTTCCATCTGCTTACAAAGCTAGATTCCGAACAATAGGTCCTGAATTTATTTCACAGATATTGTTAGAGAAATCTATGAGTACCTCTGAAATTATGATTTCAAGAAATAGTGACTATGTTTTGATGCATTTCAGTTTTTATAGAATGGTGAAGGACAACGGACTTTTTAAATGGTCTTGGAGGAAAATATCAATGCTATGAAATTATGAGCTTTCTTAATAGACTATTAAACTATCTTCAGTGATTTAATATTATTCTTTGTACTTTTCAAGTTATCCAATCAGACAATCAGAGTTTAGAAGCTTCTGGAAAATACATTAGATTCATTAGTTTATTTTTCTGTCTCCAAAAATACAATTCTCTAAAACACATAAAGGCAGTTAATTTGCTCATCACAACTGCACAATGACTGTTTCATCTCACTGATGTCAGTGAATTTATAAGCTTTATGATTTTTAAAAATCCATCTTTCCAGAGGGACATGGAAATCAACTGAACAGTGCTATAAAAACTTGAAAATCACTTTCCATACATAAGGAAACTTTCCCAAATGGTTAGTGAAGTTTTAAAAATAGAACTTCAATTTGAATGAATTTTAAAATCTGCATACTTTTGCACTTGGATCCACCTGTCTATCACTTCTTTTCAGGACCTGATTCAAATGCTACCACCTTTCAGAGAAGCTTTGCCCGAACCTTCAGGTTGGGTTAGGTGTCTCCTAGCACAGAATGGAAATCATTATGTCATGTTCTTGAATTTCCAGCGGGAGACTTGGTAAATCCTAACTGCAAAACCATTTACTGGGAAAATGCTCCCAAATGTGTATCTAACAGCTATGTTCTGTCCACGCTATGTAATCTCAGGTACAGGTGACTTTGTAAGATCTGAGTTAATGGGGCATGAAAATACATGAGTTTTAATGATGGATAATTATAACTGTTTAAAATGAGAATTTGTTCACAGATTTCTTCATTTACAAAAATTCATGAATCATACAAAATTAAATTTAAAATGGGTTATAATTAGGTCTTGGGATGTAGCTAAGTTGATAAAGTATTTGTCTAGCATGCTGGAAGCCCTAGGTTCAATTCCAAGCACCTCATAAATGTGACATATAGTATATGCATGTGATCCTAGCAGGATCTAGAAGCTGGAGGGTCTGAAGTTCAAGGTCATCCTAGCAAGTTTGAGGCCAGCCTGGGATAGATGAGCTCCCGTTTTCAAAACACATATTATAAAATAGGTTATAATTAATGTATACATTGTTACTTCTGCTTGCTGTATGGAAAATCAATCCCTCCATCATTTGTGAAGGTAACAGCCACAGACTCTGGCTTTGGGCATTTGCTCTGAGATTGGGATGACTTGACCTATGAATAATTTCTAGTCATTTTAAAGTTTTAACACTTTTACAAGAGTCTAATTCTTGTTTTCTTGAGTATCTCTATGTTCACTGGCGTGAGAGCGCTGTAGTAAGATCAGTGTGGTCTACCCCCTTTGGAACTTGAAATTATGAAGAATACAGCGGCATAATTTCTACTTTGAGGTTTTCAATCATAGATCTGAAATGTCTGAGTGAAAATGAACCTGGATGTTTGTAATGTTCATCTATTTTCATTCCTTTTTTCTCTGACTTAAGCACGGGTTGCTTCTGCAGAGAACCCAGGTTCAATTCCCAGCACCCAAATGGTGGCTTACAACCATCTGTAACTCCAGTTCCAGGGGAACCCAATACCCTTTCCTGACCTCAGTGGGCACTGCCTGAGATGGGTGCACTTATACACATGCAGGCAATACATTCATGCACATAAAATAAAAATAATAAATAAAATAATAAAAAAGAAGGTTCAGGGAACTTTTATCTAAGAAAACTGAAGCGGGAAGAAAGTGGGAAAATCTCTAGAAAGATGCTCATTAGTGTGTGTGTGTGTGTGTGTGTGTGTGTGTGTGTGTGTGTGTACTCACGTGTGTGAATGCGTGTGGTCTCTTCTGGGGAGTACCATACTTTTTTTAAAATGGAAATTAGATACAATTCATCTGATCATTTTTTTTCTGCTGCATTTTATCTCTAATGCTAAGAACTAAATAATTATTTCTGCATTGAGAATTATCCACAATAAATATTTAAAAATTAAATGCCTTATTTTTTTTTCCAAAAACAAAACCATATTTCAGATGACTGAAGTGAAAAAAGTTTCAGGTATCGTGGAATAGCTGCTGCAGGAACTTCAGGTAAACGAAACAACATACCACCTTTGTTTTTTAAGATAATGCATATTTATTGCTTTCTGTGGGCTTCAGAGAAACTATAAAATAACACATTCATAGTTTGCTAGCTTATAAGTGTGATGTAAATGCTATCATTTTAAAAGGTGAAACCAGTAGTCGGGTAACTTATTTGTTTATTTTTATTCAATTATTATAATTTTATGTGTATGGGTGCTTTTCCTGAATTTACATATGTGAACTATGTGCATGTAATATCCTAGGGGCTGGAAAATGATGCTGAATCCCCTGGAACTGCTGTTTCAGATGGTTATAAGCTCTTATGTGGATGCTGGGAACTGAACCAACCCAAGTCCTCTGCAAGAACATCCAGTGCTCTGAACTGAAAAACCGTCTCTTCATTTCCTAAATGGTACATCTTACTGCAAAAGTTTTGAGTCTGACAATGTCTATCACTACAAATATGGAGTGCAGTTGAAAAAAAAGACATCTAATTTTATTGATCATATCTCTTTACCTAATAGCTAATATACAGGCATAAGAAACAGATTTGCTATGTTGTAGAGGCAGAAAAATGAATTAAGCATTGCTCTTGATTTTGCGGACTGACACCCCAAATTTAAGCACCATTCTTCTAACAAGTTTCATGAAGATATGAATCTTCTTTATTATTTTTTCCATGCAGTGTTTCAATATACAGTAGGTATGAAATATTGACTAAATAAATGACTACAAAGAAATAGATAATCATCCTTAAAATCTTATAAGAACAATATAAAACAAGGAGCAATGTAATAAGCAATCATAAAATAATACAGTTTAGGAATATCTGAGAACAAATTATGAGAGATGGAGACCAGATCAAACAGGTTTCAAAGGACAATATCCTGAAATTAGTGTCAGAGTCAAGAGATAATGAGAGACAAGTCTCAGTGATTGCAGGATTATCTTTATTTGTGCTTCCATGTGGTTTCCAAGTTTTCTGCCTATCATATCTGCTGAGTTTTTTAACTAAGAAAAACAGTTGGCATTAATGGAACAATATGGCTCAATCTTTCAATCAGTTCATTAGGGCAGATGAATAATTAGTGGACCAACTATTCAAGACAGTCAATCAAAGAGATTCAAAGATTTTTACTTTCAAAAGTATTTGACTAAAATTATGTACTTTCACAAATAAAACATTGACTCTAGTGTACAGGGAGAGCTGTGAAAAATCTAGGAAGTAATAAATTAATCCAGTTGTGTCCTTCCTCCATAAAAATAATATCTTTCTGTAGATAGGAAACAGATACTACATTTTTTTTTCCTAGTAGCTAAAATTGGCTGCAGTGTTTCATAAACTTTTCTTTTTTGTAACTTTAATGAAAAAAATTCATTTATTGTTATATGTTGCAGTTCTAAATATGAAAGGATGCTTTTCTTCCTTTGTCGTCAGAAAATTAAATGTTAAACAGTTCATAACCCATGGATTTGAAATTGTATGTAAAGCAACACTGACATATCATGTACTGAGCATCACTGGAAATGCATCATCTTAGTCAGTCATAGCCAAGACCCTCTCAAAGAAACCTTATAAGCCAGGTGTGGTGGTGCACACCTTTAATACCAGCACTCAGGAGGCAGAGGCAGGCAGATCTCTGTGAGTTTAAGACAAGCTTGGCCTATTTAGTGAGCTCCAGGTCAGCTGGGGTAACAGAGAGCCTGTCTCAAAAAGACCGAGAAAAAAAAAAAAAGAGAGAGAGAGAAAAGGCACCTTATAAACAGGCTATATCAAGTCTGTTGTCCTTTTTTCAGCTGATTTAACTAAAGACTTGGTTTGTGCTGGTTATTTTACCAACTGTCATTCAAGGACATTCTCTGAATTTATTGGGATATATAGGATAAATTTGCTTTGTGTGTATGAGTATTATCTGTCCTTCCCATTGATGAAAGCTGTAAATAACTTTCAGGAAACAGTTAAGCATCTATTTCATAAATCCTCCTTATTGCTTAGCACATATGAATGCATGTAGGCCCACCTTTCTAACCCAGGAGGCATTGGCTTTGCTGCCCATTTGAGAATGCATAGAAACAATGAAGCACAGGGTTCTGGCTGAGAATGAAATACTTACTTGACTGATGATGAGCCAATGACCCTTGGGTTAGGAAGACTGCAAGATTTAAGTTTTTGTAACTGTGTGTAGGAGGAAGTGTGGCCTGGACAACCTGCGCATGCACGCTGCAAACTCACCAAAAACATCTGGCTGAGGCAAACCTGTGTTCTGCCAAAAAAAAGACAGAGACTGCTGATGCGAAAATGGCCTGATACAGAGAGCCAATGAGGAACAGACACGACCTATCAATGGACCAATAGGACACCAGGAGCGGGGATATAAGGGAG